CCGAGAGCGGCCGCCCCCTGTGAAGTTTTCGAAGACGTGCTTTTCCGGAGTTTTCTAGGCATGTTGGGGTCTGCACCCGAAAGCCTTGCGATAACTCTAAGCCCTACAACCCCTGAAGCCTACAAGCCCTACACCAGAAACCCTCCACCAGAAACCCAAAACCCGAAACCCGAAACCCTAACCCCTCAACCCTAAACCGTGCGGGCCCCAGCGCCTCTCTCTCCCCCCCCTCACCCTGCGCCGAAGACGGTACTGACAGGGCTTCAGATCATTGGGCGGGAAAATCCAAAAAACCCAAAGCCCTTGAAGGATTTTAGGGTTTAGGGTTTGGGGGTGTAGGTTTAGGGTTTAGGGTTTGGGGTGGAGCCCTAAACCCTGAACCCTAAACCCTAAACCCTAAACCCTAAACCCTAAACCCTAAACCCTAAACCCTAAACCCTAAACCCTAAACCCTAAACCCTAAACCCTAAACCCTAAACCCCTAAACCCCTAAACCCTAAACCCTAAACCCTCAAGCCCTAAGGGCTCGCGACCCCCCCCCCCCCCCCCCCCCTCAAACCCTGAACCCCCAAACTCCCTCAGACTCCTGCACGCCTGAAACCCTAAACCCTAAACCCTAAACCCTAAACCCTAAACCCTACACCCTAAACCCTAAACCCTAAACCCTAATCTCGGGATTGGGGGTGCAGGGCTTCAGTTTTGGTTTTTGTTTTAGGTTTCTTTTTTTTTGGGGTTGGGGGTGTGTTTAGTGCTTAGAGGGTTTAGGGCTTAGCACAATTTAGGCTATCCGATTCTTCGGCACACGCAATGGCAACGTTGTTTCCACAATATAGGGGTCGGAATAATTGGTAATAGTATTCCCTTAGGTTTCTTGATAATTCTACTTTACTAGTCCCCAAAACCCAAACCCTAAACCCAAAACCCTAAACCCTAAACCCTAATCCCTAACCCTAAAGCCTAAACCCTATATTACGTGTCTTCATTTCTTTTCTCTTTCTCTCCTCCAGGGTGGCTGGGGAGGGAAGGTGTGCGATTTAGGAATTGGGGCCCTTGGGGTTTTGGGCTCTCGGGCCGCTAAACTAAACCCTCAACCCTCAGCCCTAGACCCTTCAGGGCTTGGGGCTTAGGGCTTAGAGGGCTTAGGGTTGCGGGTTTCGGTGGTTTAGGGTTTAGGGTTTAGGGTTTAGGGTTTAGGGTTTAGGGTTTAGGGTTAAACCCGAAGCCCTTCAGGGGCTACAGGCGCGGAGGGCAACCACCGCAAGCGCACACCCGCAGACTTTCGGCTTGCCGCATCTCGTCCTGCTCCCGATCCCACACCAGCCAGAGCCTCAAGTTTTGAGAGTTTCGAGTTTTGAGGGTTTAGGGTTTAGGGTTTAGTGTTTGGGGTTTAGGGTTTAGGGCTAGGGTTTAGGGTTTGGGGTTTAGGGCTTGTGGTTAAGGGTTTTACAACCTCAGGGTGTAGGGTTTATCAAGCCCGAAAACCCGACACCTTGAAAACCTAACGTGCCAGCGTAAGCCGCAAGCCCTTCTTAGAGGTTCAGGGTTTAGGGCTCAGGTTAACTGAGTCATACTCGGCTCTGGGTTTAGTGTTTAGGGTTTAGGGTTTCGGGTTTAGGGTTTCGGGTTTAGGGTTTAGGGTTAAGGGTTGACCCCCAAGGATGGACCCTTGTTTAAGAGGTTCCCTGAATATACGCCTCATCCCTTCTTTTTCCCTTAGAGGATCTTTGTATAGGGTCCCCAAACCCAAGGGTACAACCTTAGGGGTCCAAGGTAGAACCCCAGGATTAGGGATCACAAGGTTCGGGTTCGTCACCGAAGGCCCCTGGTAGAGTGCTACGACATCAGGGTACCCCTTAGTCAGGGTTGACCCTGAACCCTAAACTGCAACGGCGTGAGCTACAGGTTTTAACAAAACAGGCTGGGACGCCGTCTTTTCGGATCTGGGGTTTCGGCGGGGAGCACCGCCAGTTAGGGGTTTAGGGTTTTGGGCGTTTGCCGCGCAGCGGACCCCATTGTTAGGGGCTACGCAAGCCACCCTCCTCCAGCGAAAAAGAAGATCTCTAGCTTAAGAAATGCCGCAACCCAAAAAGCCCGAGCCTTGAACCCTCAGTTTCCAAGCCCTTGCCCCCCGAACCCCAACCACGAAACCCTAAACCCTAAACCCCAAGCCCCAAGCCCCAAACCCCAAACCCCAAACCCCAAACCCCAAACCCCAAACCCCAAACCCCAAACCCCAAACCCCAAACCCCAAACCCCAAACCCCAAACCCCAAACCCTAAACCCTAAACCCTAAACCCTAAACCCTAAACCCTGACCCTAAACCCAAAACCGTAAAGCCTAAACCTTAAACCTCAAACCCTAATCTCCAACTCCTCGACACCAGGTCTCTGCGACTTCTCGTAGCCATGGGTGCCTGCGGAGGCTTCCGATGTTTAGGGTTTAGGGTTTAGGATTTAGGGTTTAGGGTGTAAGGTTTAGGGCTCACAACCCCAACCCCTAAGCCCTAACCCCCACATCTCATGATCAAGGCTCCCCCCCCTTGTGGTTTTCAAGCCGTTCCACTGGCACCTCCTACCTCCCACATCCGAAATCCGAAAACCAAAGCAAAGGGTTTAGGGTTTAGGGTTTAGGGTTTACGGCTTACGGCTTAGGGCTTAGGGTTTAGGGTTTAGGGTTTAGGCTCAACAGCGAGGGCAGCAGGCCCGCGAGGGCTTCGGCAGCCAAACCCTGCCCCAAAAACAATAAAACCTGGAGGGTTTTGGGTTCAGAGTGTTGGGACGTTTTGGATTCTTCTGCGAGACTTTCGAGCCTTAAGAGAGTCTAGGGCTGGGGGGTTTAGGGTGCTGCGGAACCCTAAACCCTGAACCCTAAACCTTAAACCCTAAACCCTATAACACCCCACCCTTGGGTTTAAGGGGCTTAAGGGGGCAGAAGGAAATTTAAGGACATTTTAAGGGGTTTAGAGTTCAAGGGTTAGGGATGGGGCCCTGGCACTGCTGGGGTTTTGAGGGTTTAGGGTTTAGGGCTAGGGTTTAGGGTTTAGGGTTTAGGGTTTAGGGTTCAGGGTTCAGGGTTCAGGGTTTAGGGTTCAGGGTTCAGGGTTTAGGGTTTAGGGCTTGGGGTTTTTGAGGCATTGTGGAGGTTTTGGCGCGCACAAGGTTTTAAGGTTTAGGGCTCAAGTGGGGGTTTAGGGGGTTTCAGGGGGTTTTGGGGTTGTAGGGGCTCTTGGTTCGGGTTGCGGTTTGCTTCCCCAAGGGTTTAGGGTTCAGGGTTTAGTGTTCAGACTCTGTGTGAGTCCGACATTGAGCCTGTAAACAGAACAGTCCCGGCACTCCACAGGAGACCCAGAACTGAACTGATCCCTGAATTCACTGCCGACTGCCCCAAACCTGAACTCCACAAAAATACGAAACCCTGGATAACTCGAATCCGAAACCCAGAACAACCCTGAGTCCTACAACCCTCAACCCTCACTCCCCTCCCCCCTCAGACCCTAATCCCCAAACCCTGCACCCGAAACCCTGAACAATAAGCCCCCGCCGAAGAGCAACCCTGAGTCCTACCACTCGCCCCCCCTCAAACCCTAAACCCTAAATGGGCCACAGGAAAGACCGGCGAAGCGCCAACCAAGCAGCCCAGCAAGGTGGGCTTAGGACCTTAAAACCCCCCCGAAACCCTAAACCTTATAGGGTTTAAGGTTTAGGGTTTAGGGTTCAGGCATTTAGGGCTTTTTAAACCTTAACGCCCACTCAAAACCGTGTCCTCCCCCTAATCTTAAATACCCCCATTATGGTGAAATGATAGAAAAAGGGGGGGGTATTTAATGTTGCGGGGTAGGGGGGTTGAAGTTTTCAGCAGTGAGGACTGCAATGGATATACAGGTGAGACGTAGAGGTACGGAGCCGGCCCTCCAGGCTAAACCCTAAACCCTAAACCCTAAACCCTAAACCCTAAACCCTAAACCCTAAACCCTAAACCCTAAACTCGAAACCCTATACCCTAAACCCTAAACCCTAAGATGCAGCCTCTGAGAGTCTGGCCGTGACTAGACTGTTGATTCGAAGACTTCGATGTGAGCACGGCGCCTCAAACCATTGCCAGCTTTCTGCATCGAATTGACGTCTTTTGGGGTTCAAGGTTTAGGGTTTAGGGTTTAGGGTTCAGGGTTCAGGGTTTAGGGTCTACATTAGGGTTTAGGGTTTAAGGTTTAAGATTTAGGGTTTAGGGCAGGGTCACGTGGCAGACCTGCACCACACAAGAATCATTCGCCAGGCTTTGAGCAGTGAAAGGACCAGGGTTTAGGGTTTAGGGTTTAGGGCTTCTCTAACACAGGACGTGGTGGCTCAACATTCGAGTCT